TACACACACACGCAAGCATACACACGCACGCACACATATGATAGGATAAAGAACACGTCGGAAACTAATCTTAATCTAACATGTTTCACTTTATTAAAGCTTCGTCTGAGATCAAAATAGAAATGATAAAAAGCAAAGAGACACAAATTGAAGTAACATAATATTTAAATATGTGTGACAAACATTCTGGATGATAAAGTGTGTAAAAGTCAGTGAGACGCAGCAGGATGTTTTGAAGAATTTTGTTTTGGCTTGATTTTTCATTAAAGCATATCTCGTGTGTATTTTGTATATATCTTCATTGATTTTTATCTATTAGGAAGAGAAAAGCTAGATTCATGAATCTGTAGAAAAATGGTGACGTAATGTAGTTTTTAAACGTGTCGGTAGCATTGCTATAAATATGTTTTCGTAATATTTTTTCTTTAAAGGGTTATGTTCCTTTTTTTTAATGCGGCTGCCATTGGTGAAATTAAACTTATGTCCCACATCGTTGCGTTTTAAGACGAGAGAATTTGAATGCTTATCCAATCGCAAATCTCTTTTGTGTTCCTGGATGCGGTCTTTTAGATCGTGTGTTGTCTCCTCCATTTATATGTTATTGCACTGTAGACATTTTATTTAATAAACACCGGCATTTGAATCCTGATTATATCGCTAAATATATATATATATATATATATATGTGTGTGTGTGTGTGTGTGTGTGTGTTGTGTGTGTGTGTGTGTGTGTCTGTGTGTTTGTGATATATATATATAAATATGTGTGTGTGTGTGTGTGTGTGTGTCTGTGTGTTTGTGATATATATATATATATATATATATATATATATATATATATATATATATATATTCTGGGTTTTTTATTGATTAATCCTTCGTCTTTGAGTTATTAAATTTAAAGTTTACGGTAGACGCTGTTCAATGTAGTATACAAGATACAATCCAAAAATACTTTTAAAAATTTCCAGACACCAAATGAGGCAAGAAATGCACTGCAACAGTGAAAATCACTTTTATTTCCCAAGTACTTTCCATCACTTTCTGTGATCATCATCTGGGGTACAATTGGTAAGGCAAAAACTATGTGCACCTATCCTTTACTACATTTTTTCTTTTGCGTTTAAATGCATTTAAGTGCATTTCTTGCCTCATTTGATTGCAAAATACAGAAAAATATTCGTGAATATGAAGGGATTATGATAAAAATAAGCAGATAAAATTTTTGCAATTTATTCAATCAGACATGCCTAAAAGAGAATTTGCTGCCTAAATGCACACACACACACACATACACACACACACACACACACACACAAACAAACATATAGGTTTATAGGTTCATTGTTTTTATAACGAGCAGAACTAATTTACGCGCCCACGTTTCAAGTGATTTCAAGCCTTTGGTGTTATATATTTTTTGCTAAAGTCCCACTTCCTTCAGGAATCCAAAAATGTTTTTTGGATTGACCTGTTCAAAAATGTCCTTGACATTCGTTAAAAAAAAAGAAAAAGAAAAACAAAAAACTAATTAAGACATGCATGTCCGTCAACCTTAAACAATAATCTTTGTCAATTTTATTTTTCAGTCTTTATGATGGTCGATACTTGATCTATCTCTTACTGTTACATCCCCGGGCAACGCCGGGCTCTACTGCTAGTCAAGTATAAAATTGGTTGTTTCAATTGCTAGGGTGGGATTTTGGAGATGATTTATTGGAACATATATGAATAGAGTCCATTTCACTGTTAAGCGTTCGCCGATACGAGACTGAAGGATTTAATGGCGTTGGGCTTTTTCTTGAAGAGGGTTTTGTACTGTGTTTTAAATGCACAATCATAGGAAAGATTTATTGGCCATGATGATAAATTTTGAACGTATTGGAATGCTAACTTTTGCCTTCTGAGTGATAGAGGGGCTTCATTTGCTTCTATATATCGACTCTCCACCGAGACATGCTGAAAGTGCCTAGTGTGACTCTCAGCTCTTGATAATGAATTGTTTTTTAATTTTTGAGGTATGAATGTCTTGCAGCACTATAGATGAAACAAACATAGTCAGATTTTCATCTGACAATTGTTCTGTAAATTTTTAGAAGTGATTTCTTATCAGCTCCCCAATCAGTGTGCTCTATAACTTTGAGTAGGTTGGTTGTCTTGTTACATTTTTGTCTTAAGTAATTTATAGGGGGGGGTAAAAGACAATGTCTTATCAAATATAATGCCCAGAAGCTTATATCTATCTGTTATTGGTATTTTCTTTTCATTCAGCATTAAACATAAATCATTGTGCATTTTGTTGAGGTTGCAGAAATTTTCTTTTGGTTTGAGAAAATCGAAAACAATTTTCTTCAGTCCATTTACTGATCTTATTTAAAACACAAGCTTTGATATTGTTTTAATCGGGGTGTACAGTGACATGGATTGATGCTTTTCATAATTTTATCAATTTGGATATTGAAAAGGGTTACTGACAGGATGCTTCGTTTGGGCACACCGTTTTCCAGCTCTTTTAAGACAGAGAGAGAGAGAGAGAGAGAGAGAGAGAGAGAGAGAGAGAGAGAGAGAGAGAGAGAGAGAGGGGGGTTCTCATGCATACTTTAAATTTCCAATTCTCTAGGAAGATTTGAATAAATAATGGCATCCTGTCTTTCAATCCGAGTTTCTGAAGGTCTCTCATGGTTCCATAACTCTATGATGTGTCATACACTTTTTTGAAGTCATAGAAAACTGCTCCGTTTTAATGAATGTCTTTCTTATGAAGGGTTCTAGTCTGATCAAATGATCAGTTGTACTTCTTTTGTTCCTGGAACCTGATTTTAATTTTGATATTAAGTTTTTCGATTCAAGGTACCACGTTAACCTGTCATTGGTCATCCTTTCTAATACTTTACAAATACGACTTGTTAAAGCTCTTGGTCTATGATTTGATGGATTTGACGAATCAGTTTTAGGTGCGTGGGCGTTTGTTTCATCATTTGAGTCTTTACTGAGTTTCGTTATGGGTATTGTGGCTTGTTCCAAAAGATTCGGAACTTTTTCGCTGTTATAAATATCGAGAAGATATTCAGAGCATACTTGGGGTTGTTACTTTAAGAATTCATAAAAAAAAATCTTCAGGAACGACTGCTGTATTGTGGGTTTTACTAAGTGATTCGTTGAGTTTTGCTCTTGTGAAAGGGTTTGGTTATAGATTTTTCTGTATTTTTGAAATTGAGTTTTTTCTTTTCTTCAGTTCTGATTTTTTGAAATTTTTCTGTTTGATCTTTCGAGGAGGAATTCTGTGAGAAATTGTCTGCTAAGATCTTAGCTATATTATTTCTATTTGTGATCTTTATGTTGTTGTTTTTTGTGAGATGTTTTATTGCAGTGCTATTATTCTTGCCAATTATCTTTTCCGTCGTGTTCCATATGGTTTTTGATTTAGTCTTTGACTGTATTTTGGATACAGAGATTTTCCATGTGGTTCTTTTAGATTCCTTCATAGTTCTTCGAGCATTGGCTCTGCTGTTTTTAAATAACTTTAGGCTTTCTTTGGCGTGTCAGAATAGGTTTTAGGCATTGCTTGTCAAACCAGGATTTGTAATATTTTGTAGACGTAGATTATTTTGGCTTGTTCTCTTCAGCTCTATTTTAGGTTTTCTTTAGTGGGATTTAAATTATTTTTTAAGGTTAGTATGAACTATCTGGATAGCCTTTAGGCATTCACTGTCAAAACAGGGTTTGTAGTATTTTATAGGAGTAAATTATTTTGGTTTGTTCTCTTCAGCTCTAGATATGAGAGTTTTCGTGAATTATGTCAGGTGATCTTCATTATTAATATTTGCTTTTGTTATTAGTTTTGATTGGCATTCTTTTTAAAATTGTATCCAGTTGGCCTATTTTAGATTCCACCGTGGTATTTTCTCATCGAGTCGAGGGTCTGTATGTTCTAATATGATTGGAAAATGGTCGCACTTTCCATGTGTAGTCCATGTATAAGTTTGGATCACGTAGAGTTAGATCTATTGCTGTTTCCAGATTCAGGTAGGCATTCGTTTTATTGTTGCAGAGGCAAAGATTGTTTTTCTTCATGAGGTTTTTTTATAATCTGACCTGTTTTGTTTATCTATTTGTTTCCCCATATTTCGTTTTGGCAGTTGAACCTCCCAATAAAGTAAAAGGTTTTGGGAGTTGTTTTATTAAATGGTCTTATTTCTGATTGGATAATGTTGTGATTTGGTTGTATATAAATAGAACAAATGGTTATTGTTTTATGTAGTGTTGTCAACATTGCAATTGCGAGCATGTTTATGTCCAGAGAGATCTGGCTTTGTGGAATTTTGTTACTGATGTTCCACTTGCTGCTCTGTCAGTATTTCTGTTTATATAATTGTATGAGGTGTAATTTGTTTTGATGTTTATATCACTGTTTTCCTTAAGAAATGTCTCTTATAAACATATGACTGCCGGCCATATTCTCATACGGAGAGTCACTTCACTGAGATTTGCATTTGCACCTCTATAATTTAACTGTATTATACTGCAGGTGAAAGACACAAAAATATATTGTTCTCCGAAGCCAGAAAAACTGCAGTATTAATGTCTGCTGCATGAACCAATAGTCTTAGGTGGCCCCGCAGATAAAAACCTAAGGATTTATCTCGGGGGAACTTGCAGGTTATAAAACCGGTCCTCGCCTACTTTCATGGTAGAAGTCAGCCACTGCATCGCAATGTGCTGGAGCGCCATCATGCATGAACTACATGCGTCTTCGTATTAGCAGGAGTACATCCTCTAGCAGGTCGGGGAAGTGTATTCGAAATAAAGTTTTTGTAGACAGCTCTTGTAAGACGTGCTGGGAGGACATATGGACTTATGAGACATTCACATACAATTCCAGTCTACACATTAATCGTAAACTGATGCTGGTGTATAGTCTGTATTGTATCATGGTGATTCTCATCCGCCCCAAAATGTTGGTAGCGTAAATTTGTTATTCCATCTCTTCTAAATGTTGCGTCATCCGAAAAAGGAAGAATGAAAGAAAGAAAAAAAGAAAGAGAGAAAGATAAAATGGAAGAAAGAATGAAAGAAAGAAAAAAGAAAGAAAAAAGATGAAAGGAAGTAAGAAGCTTTTATCCGATGTGGAAAAAAAAAGAAAAGAAAAAAATAAATACAGGCTTTTGTTTTTCTGAAAGAAAGAGAGAAATATATATATATATATATATATATATATATATATATATATATATATATATATATATAAGACTTAATAAAAAAGAACAAATTAAAGAAACAACAAAAAAGAGAGTGAACTAAAGAGACAAGGAAAGAAATAAAGAAAAAGAAATAAAGAAAAAGAAATGAAGAAAAAGAAGGAAAATATTCATCGAAAAAATGAAATGATAGAAGGAAAATCTTCATTAAAACAAGAAATAACTCCCTAACTAACTAAATAAATAAAAAAAATGACGCAAGAAAGAAAAAAATCTGATGATGTTTTAGACAATTCGCCTCAAGCAAGGCAATAATGCCACTAAGGCACAAAAAGCTACTGGCTGTGACAGAGAATGAAAAGACAGAAAAAACCAGAAACCCAAACATAAGCAGGAAACACGGGATAAAACTCTACTCCTGTTCAAAAGAGCGGGGAGGAGGTAAAGGAAGTTTTCTAGATAATCAAACAGGAAGCAGAAGATAGAAAATTAAAAAAAAGAAGAAAACATTTGTTTAGAACAAAGAAAAAAGAAGGAGATGGAAAGAAAAGAATCGAGAAATAACAACAAAAAAAGACACAAAAGAGGAAATAAAAAAGGAATAAATAAACAGAACAGGACAGAAAATAAGGAGAAAACACGTAAAAACAAAAAAAAATATATAAAAAGAAAATATCGAACGAAGGTTTGAGATGTCTGAACTCTTACTATGTAATTCATGTGATTTGAAGCGGACGGCACAAAACGACATCAGGTGCTTACAAAGGAAGCCGGATAGAAAATGAAAGGAGGCAGACGATAAAAAATGCCTGTTTATGTAACTCATGTTTTGAATCGTCATATTGTTCTTAGACAACAGTAAATCACTGATGATAAACAAGAGTACGACTAACAAAGAAGAATTCCACTTTTCATTTAAAAACCGTTGTTTATTTTCTTTTTCACTTGTGGTTTACAAACAATCGTACAACCGAAAGATATATTTGCTGCTTTTGTATGTATCACTGGAAAGGCGTGTCATTTTAAACTTACACTATCTAAAATTTGACCCACTATTTAAAATTTGAACAAGTAAACGATACCAAATATTTTTGATAGGATTGGAGGTTCTTGGTGAGTCAAGGAACCCTCTTCGTATCCATGAAGATATGAATTTTAACAGGAAAAGTATATAGCAATAGATTTGCTTAGTAGGAAGATAATGTATTCTTGAAGAGGTAAAGAGACATATGACGCCTCTTATACGACACAGGCATAATTTAAATTAGAAATGCAGTGTGTAAAAGTGCGTAGATTTAATTTATTACTTATATACTGACAATATATAACTAGTGATAATAGCAGAGACAATAAAAATGCTCGAAAAACAGAAAAAAAAAAGGCATGAAGTTTGGAAAGTTCATTCACTGATTTCTGATCCGGCTATGCAACAAGTTACTCGACAGTTGAAAAAAAATGCAAAAAGGACATAATAAACAGACAGATGTTGTTGGTTGAAAATCAAATTCGTTACACACTTACACACACACACACACACACACGCACACATATACATATATATATATATATAAGTTTTTCAAAATTTAGTTTTCACCACCTCCTTGGAATTATTCATTTGCTTGCTATTTTGCAAGCTGCCTCAGAAGGTGCAGCGGTAAAGGTCTGTACTACATTTTGTTTAAGCTTAAATGACACCCGATATATAATGACATATATATATATATATATATATATATATATATATATATATATATATGACCAGCGGCTCCTACAGCTATTAATGCATTACTCTTCAAGTACAAATTGAGTTCTCCGGGCCACTGGCGTATTTCACATAGAATAACTTTAAATTTTCTGTTCCACTGTTATATCCAAGTGTAAGGTAGGTTAGCATAATACAATTAAAGATATAAATTTTTTAAAAGTGCACATGAACTTTATGGACACCCTGTATATATATATATATATATATATATATATATATGTGTGTGTGTGTGTGTGTGTGTGTGTGTATCAGTGGCAACTCCGGTGGTCGGGCTTGTCGGTCTCATTCCGAATTGAGTCATCATTCAAGTGTATCTATTTTAAAGCAGCAAAAATCTTTCGTAATGCGTTGTTTTCATTTTTGATTTCAGCTCGATCCAAAATTAATCTCTTTAACTCACTGCCTCAAAATATTGACTGAAAACCATTTCGCCGGTATTGTTCATGAGAAAGAAAGAAAGAAAGAAAGAAAGAAAGAAAAAAAACAAAGAAAGAAAGTAAAAAACAATGAAGTTTAATTATGTGGCTAGTCGGACTGCGTAGATCTGAGCCCTATCAAAAGTGTCTTATCAATTTGCATTCAACATCACACCGGCAGTGTTGAAACAAAATGGCTATTTTTGTAGTGATTTTATAACAGGTTTATGTTATAAATTTTCTAAATAAATAATTATATCTGCTCTACTTTGTATTGAGCACTCTTTTAAGAATAGTAATTGTTGGTTATTGGAATTCATTCCGTATACACCAATTATATACTTGGATATATATATATATATATATATATATAAATTCAATAACCGTGTAGGCAATGACTAGCCACTACTTTAAGTTTCATGTTTGCACACAATCTTCCGGCTACCTGAAGATTGTGTGCAAACACATGAAACTTAAAATAGTGGCCAGTCATTGCTTAACTGGTTATTGAATTAATATTCAAATGCTCTGTCATTTTTATGGCATACAGCATTTTTTTGTCAGAAGGCTAATTTTGGGCACTATTTAGAGCTGATTATTCAAATCTTGTGTGTGTGTCTGTGTAGTGTGTGTGTGTGTTCGTCTGTGTGTATGAGTGTGTTTGCCTTTCAATCTATTTACATCAGAGTTATATATTCATTGTCCGATAAATTTGGTCGCAGCTAACTATTAATCGTTGGCATTTGTCAGCGTTTTAAGTTCAACTAAAAAATGGCGTCCTTCCAAAAGTGGGAATAATAATCCTTGTGAATTGTATTCTATTTCAGCCTATTTATCTTCACCGCTGGAGTTTAACAAGGACCCATCTCGTATACCGGCGGAGCTCGCTGTACCATATAAATCTTTTTACAAGCGAAATTACTTACACGTTCCCACACATGCAGAGGAGGACAAACCCTGGCATACTCATGCAGCCGAAGCCGGCGCACACGCACGAACTCGGAAATACATCGCTTTAGATGCAATAAAATCTTAAGAATAAAACCTAATTAATCATGAAAGCAACTTAGTGAGTTCACATCTGTCAGTTTGAGGAACGATGTCGCGTCTGACACCTTGTCTCAAATGACATCGATAACGTGTTGATAAAAAAGCTAGCAACAGGTGTTTATGCTCGATAGAACAGCACATGAAAACCATTAAGTCGCGTACAGGTTGATTCGTCTACGCAAATATTAAGCAAATATTAATGGCCGTCTACTCATTTCGGAGTTCTCCTGTCTGCTAGTGCGGCTAGCCAATCCTTATTGAAGAGTCCTGCTCAGGCAGATTACTGTTTATTCACCACCCACGTAGTTCACCTGCAATTTAAACTGAAACTATGATGAACTGACCTTAGCCTGGCGGGATTCACAAGTTGAACAAAGGCCACTACGCTTAAAGCCTTATACAGAATGACTTGTGCCACTACTTTAGCGAGATCCGACATTACTAATAATGCCACTTGGTCTGAAGATGGCATCGAAGCGTAAAACTGACGGTCACCATGCAGTGTTGATTGCTATGTCGCCTCTTTCTATCCTTATAAACGCTCTATCCCTTTAATTGATCTTTCTTCCCCGATAAATAAATAGATGCTTTCTTCGTCGGTGGCAGATTGCGCAAACTGACTGAAGAATTTCAATCATTCGGCATTTTCATGTGCGGCACACGCTTACTGGGAGATGGGTCCTAAAATGGTTGACAATCACGGCTATGAAGTTCATAACATTTGGTGTCGCTTTGACAGGTGATGAGTAACGATTTCATCACGTATTGACAGCTTACGTGAGGAAAATTATCGTACAGAAGGACAGAAGTGACATAATTATTTGCATTTACGTGAACCAACTTATTTACCCCGTTATTTTTAAGGAAAATTTTCAGCGCTCTAATTTTTTTGTCCTTAGCTTTCACCTTTCCTTTTACGAAGCTTTATGGAAAATATATTATAAAAAATTAGAATAAGAGAGAGAGAGAGAGAGAGAGAGAGAGAGAGAGAGAGAGAGATTAAATTTCATAAGAAAGGTATCTAATTTGTAGGTACCTTTCTTATGAAATTTTATCAGAAGTGTACATAAAATATTATAATTTTGTGTAGATTTATTACATTTTACTGTGTTATTTGTATTTCCATTCATTTTATTATTAATTTTGATATTTCATTTATCGATAAATGTCATAACTGAGATTAATAAGATCATATAAAATTCATAAGACGATACTGACACTTGTAGGTACCTTTCTCATTTGAAATTGAAAAATCAAATTAACTTCTCCACATGTGTTTCGCAAAAGTAAATGTACTAATAGCGGAGAACAATGCTTAACTCAAATAACGCAACTATTTATTTTATTCTTGCTGGTCTTGCGTACATTTAAATTACAGCCGTTTTATGGACACAAAAGCGATCTGGAATTAGTTTTTTTTATACCATTCGGCTCTTTTGATTGTTATAAGCTGTAAAACTTATAATGCTAAAAGATCTATTTAATAACACCATTGACTAAACTGAATGCCATTTTCACTAATTTTAGAATATTTTAACAAATTTAATGTAAAAATAATAAAATAATTTAAGAAATGACAAATAATTGTTTTAAAAATTAATTTTTCATTGAAGAAGTTTTTTGCTTTCAGACAATATTATTCATATTCATAAAAACAACTAAAAGCAATTAAAAACATTTGAAATTAAGTAATATCTTTGTTTTATTGAGTTTTGTATGTTACAATTCAGAGCTGATTTTCAGGTAGAGGGGGGTCCAATTAAAACAAATACATGATTTGCTTTCCTCAAAGCCTTGTGCTTTTAACTAATATAATCACTAAACTGAATGGTATTAAATTTCTAGAGTTTTCATAAAATTATTTATGGGGAATAATAAATATAAAAAAATATTTTTGCCATGACTTTAAAAAAAGAAAACATATTTATAAAAATTTCCATCGTTTGTGAATAGTTTCTGAAAGTTTCATTAAAAACCGACAATTATTTTTGTTTTTGCAAGATTTTCCAAATGAATGTCTGTCATACAAAAAATAACTCGCTAAAATTTTATATTATTTTGTAGTTCCGCTGATACAAAGAGAAACAAGGTTTTTTAATCAAAATTTATAATGTTCTAGCAAGAAGGAAATTTTTTAAAAAAATAATTAAAAAATACTTTGTTCTTTCCTCTTAATAATAGCATAAACATTTAGACGATAAAATTTTGTTTTCGTCAAAATTGGCGTCTTTTTCATCATGCTATGCTCTTTTTTTTTTAGCGATCTATATAATTTTTAGCAGAAAAATTTAGTTGGAAATAAAATAAGTGTGTCTAATCGTGGTGATTGGTTTTGGAGGAGTGAATTGACGTTTACATCAATGTATCGACAACTAACTCACAGTATTGAACTCACAGCCTTTGAGTTATGTCGCTGGATCTAACTAACGCCTTTATCCACTGAGCCATTTATAAAATTTCCTTTTAAACTTTAGATATCGGGAATCTATGGAGATGCCTGGCTAATAGTATTAGCTTTTTGATTTCTAGTTAAACACCTATCATCCATCACCATGTGCTAAATACCGACAACGTTTTCTTTAATGGTGGCAGTTGCAGGACCTCCTTCTCCCTCCTAAATTCATCTACCCATTTTTGCACTGTTGATAAAACTGATGCGTCATCACTTAATGTACCAACCATGCCAGTATAAATGTTCTTGGGGGTTAAATCCTTTTTCTACAGGAACTTGATAACATCACGATGCTAAACCTTGTCCATTTTCAAGAAAGGTCGCTATTAGTTATTTTGAAGATTTCTTTGAACAGTCAAATGTCAGTTTACCTGGTCTTTTTGAAGATAGTCAATAAATACAATTCCCTTGGCATCACAAAAACTGAAGCCATCACTTTCCCTGTAGATGAAATGACCTTCTTTGGAGCAGGTGAGGAGGGGGTGTTTCTACTGCATGGATTGTCTCTGGCTGAAAGTGATGAACCCAATTCTCATATTTTGTCAGGAAACGTGCAAAGAAAACGGCTGGATCAGCCTCAAACAATGTTACATTTTTCCTTGATGTGATCAGCCTGGTGCACTTTTGATCAGGTGCCAGAAAACGTGGCACCTACCGTACAGAAACCTTTGTCATGACAAGTTCATTGTACGAGGAAAACCACATGTTGGCAGGCGAATGACTATAAATCAAACAGATAATGCTATTAGTATATCTCGTGAGAGAGTTGAGAATATTCTGTACAAGTTTTGTTTCTGATCGATTTCATCACGATTCTTCTGTTAAGCTTGGAGAGTAATTATACATTCTTATTGCTCAAAATAGAGCCCATTAGTGTTATAAAACCTCGGAGAATTCCAGTAAGATATCTTTAATCATTTCTAAGATACACCGGTTCAGAGCTTAATCTAGCAAATGAACAATTTTGCTTTTACACGATTTGGATAATTTTGTTGTTACACCCTGTAATTTTTTAGTGGATGTTTGCGAAAATTTCATTATGTCCCCACTTTTCCCCTTTGCTTGCTGAGAAGGATACAAAGAATTATCTGATGACGATGTTTTTTTTACTACTGCTTATTCCGGCGTACTTAACCTCCCCACAAAATAGGAAGCCATTTATACCCCAGGTATAAAATGTGAACCTTAAATCCTGTAGTATATGGTAAGTTGCTAGCATCGGATATTTTTTACGGTAGTCTAACCCCTGCTTCCCAGCCTTTTTTCCGTGGAAAGGAAGGAAGGAAAAAGGAAAGAAAGAAAAAAGAAAGAAAAACAGAAAGAAGGAAGGAAGGAAGGGAGCAAAAGAAAGAAAGAAAGAAAAACGGAAGGAAGGACGAAAGATAGAAAGAAGAAAAAATGGAAAATGGAAGCAAGGAAGCACGGAAGCAAAAGAAAGAAAGAAAGAAAGAAGAAAAACGGAAGGAAGGAAATAAGAAAGAACAGAACAAATGGAGAAAGAAAGGAAGGAAGAAAGAAAGAAGAAAGAAAGAGGGAAGCAAAAGAAAGAAAGAAAGAAAGAAAAAGAAAGAAGGAAGCAAAAGAAAGAAAGAAAGAAAAAGAAAGAAAGAAAAAAGAAAGAAAAACGGAAGAAAGGAAGGAAAACAGAAAGAACGAAACGAAGGAAGGGCGAAAGAAAGCAAAAAAGAAAGAAAGAAAAACGGAAGGACAATAGAAAGAAAGAAAGAAAGTAAGTGACAGGGAGGGACATAAATGACACGTGATAATGTCATTACTTTGCATATTACACCTACATCTCCCTCTACATTTTTAAAATCCCAGACATTCTCGTGTTCTCTTTTATGCTGAAGTTTGTTAGACACAATAGAACCATGAGTAAACCTTACCTGACTATTCGTTCCGACTTGCCAACCCCATCACCTTCAGTTCTTTTATTACCCTTGAGGGCTTTTGGCTAGCAATGGACTATGCGCTGTGAAGGAGTTGTATTGCATTTTTCCCCTGAGTCAACTCTTAACCACCCCCCTTGAAAATCCAACAGAATGGCTAAGGTCTGGCCATCAATTGTCGTTCTAATTATGACTTAAGACACCACATGACCAGAAGACAAGACAGCTACTCCCACCTTTAATGAAGTGTCTTCCGGTTCTTCCTCATTATCCATCGTGTCATCATGTACGATTGTTAAAGAAATAATAACTTTAATGATGGCGCGTGATACTTACCTTATATAAGGATAAGTTTTCAGGGAAACTATAAGGCATGTTGAAAATGGTTACTTCAGGATCCAGTAAGCCTCTTTCTGTTTTATATTAACGATTTGCCTTAGAACATTTTCAGATCATTAATAAATATATATACAAAGGATAGTACGATTTATGGGTGCACCCCCAAAAATCTAGATGACCAGAGTTCGGTAAGTGATCTCTCCTCTGACTTGATCCGGCAAGTGACCACTCCTGTGACCTGGTCCCCAAAGCTCAATGAGGGAAAGGCTGTCTGATATCATTCAGTACCTCCAAATCCAAATTAGTAACGTCTCATCATCAATGAGCAGACCCTAAATGTTCTCAAATCCTGATGGACGGATGTAATCTCAATGAGAGCCCTAGCCATGACCGTCTATTGGGACTCAAGATTACTCAAACCTCAAGGAAAACTCATGTATAGAAACTATTGCTAAGGATTCTGGTAAAATGGTTGGCGCCTTATATCGCTCCAAAAACAAAAACAACTCTTACTACTACTCATAATAATAATAATGATGATAAGATTAATTTGAAAAGGGTTACTTAAAGTTCTCATATTCCAAAAATAAGTTTTAAAGAGCTTAAAGAATCGTTGACCTAATATCATCATCATCATATTCATCATCAGTCACACGATCAGGTTGTTGAGCAGCTGAGTAAGTCACTAGCTCACTCCATATGCCTTGGCAGATATTCATACATTCATAGCTTTACTAGGGCAAAGTAAACCTGGCGAAGCCCATCACTCTCTAGGTTTGACTTCATAAGGAAATAAAAAAAATTGTCTATATTTCTGAGTTGAGATATTATGATTACTTACTTGCTGTTATCCTCATCTTCACTGACATATTCACAATGTTTCGGCCATTGTACCCTTCGGCCTTCTTCGGGTGATTGAAATTTCGATTCGAACCCTTTATTTCGTCCCCCAGAGTAGATTGTTCTAGTTCCATGTGCCATGCCTCTTCCAGATGTATCTCAGTTATTTCCTTTTAACTCGACTCTCCATGCTTGGTTTACTACTGCTGTGGCCTGGTATTGAACTTGCAACTCTTTTGGGTCTAGTAACTGGATCTAACCAACATCTTTATCCACTGGGCCATGTGTCCTCAAGGAGAGTTGAGTTAAATGGAAATAACTCAGACATCCGGAAGAGGCATGACGCTTGGAACTAGAACAATCTACTCAGGTGGGCGAAATAAAGGATTCGATTCGAAATTCCAATCTCCTGAAGAAGGCCGGAGCGTACAAAGGCCGAAACGTTGTGAATATGGCAATGAAGATGAGGATAACAGTCCGAATAATGTAAATAATGTAAGTAAATAAAAAATTGTACACGGAAGTTGACATCTCATGAAAAAAAATGTAAATACGATTATTTGATTTGTGAAATTATTAAAAAGGAAAGAGAAATTCGTGTCAGTTTTGTTATGCAGCTAATTTACGGCCATGGTCTATGAAAAGTGTATTGCAAAAATAAAAATAAATAAGTTTGTGGGTGAAAGATATGCACTTTTAAAAAACTGATATTTAAGTCGCTCTCATTATATATGGAGAAAGGAATAATTAGTTGGCGATTGAAAATTGTCTTTGTAGCCGTGAAATTCTGTGAAAATTTGTTTTACATTATATTTAGACAAAAAAAAATTCGGCTTTTTTCTTTCGATGAAAAACAAGAACATAAAAGAACAATTTTATAATCATTTTTACGGGGGTGATTCGATTCACTCATCTATCACGGATCGGATAACGAGATCCTGATGTACCTTTAGTATTTTTATATTTTCTCCCTTTGTAGATATTCATTGCTTACTACATTTTTAAGGGTTACGTTCATTATGTACAATTTAAACCTGCTACCTATTTTAATCATTGTTTGATTCTAACGATGTTTTTCAAAGTTACTTTTACTCATAATATTTATTGTCAAGTGATCGGCAATGAAACTTGAACTATTTAAGTCGCTAGGGGGCGTGCAGTTAGCTGACTATAAAGTCGCTACTATTCGCAATGGCGGTCAGTTCGTTCTGAGGTGGTTCAAAATCGGAAAATAACGGAGGATCTGCTCAGAGATAGAGGATTGCCAAACCGGTTCTTCAGTTCGGTTACAAGGTGGTTAAAATCAATGCAATAGTCGTTAATTTTCGCGCATATATATATATATATATATATATATATATATATATATATATATATATATATATATTATGAAATGGACAAAGACCGACAATTATTTTTAGACATTTTTTTATGTTTATACGTTCTTTTTATAGATACAAATATTTAAGTAAATAAACACTATTAACAACATTTACCGGCCTGACGCATATTTTCTATGAAAATTTCACGGATATTCAGGCCGGTAAATGTTGTTAATACTGTTTATTATAAACAGAACATTTACTTAAATATTTGTATCTATGAAAAGAATGAATAAACATAAAAAATTTCTTAATATATATATATATATATGTATATATTAAGACATTTTTTATGTTTATTCAATACAAAATAAAGAATATATACGAAAAGGCCTTCCAAAAAAAAGTAATTTCAAATGTAAACTGTCTTACGCAAACTCCATTAGTAATACCGATACGCGAAATGTGGAATGTCCGTGTAAAAATCGGAAAAGAAAAATCACTTGGTTCAACACCCATTTCTGCAAACTGTCAAGCATCAGCATCCGACAGTAGTTCCTAAACTTAATTACTAAACACTTCAACAAAAAAAACCCTTCTAAATAAGATATTCAACAGGAAATAAGTCAAAATTAGCTACTCCTGCACTGATAATATGTACCTAATTATTAATTCCCATAACAATTCTATTTTAAGTAAATTCCATGGGGAAAAAAACAAAACAAAATCTAACATGGAAACCCACTGTAATTGTAGAATTAAGGAAAACTGCCCAGTAGAGGGCAAATGTAGATACACTAGGGTAGTATACGATAAACCATAATATTTACATCGGCATTTCTGCAGGAGAATTTAAAAAGAGAATCAATAGACACAGACATTCATTCACCAATCCAAAATTAAAACACTAAACAGCACATTCGAAAAAAATTTGGGAATTGAAGGAAAAGGGTCTGAATTCTCAAATAAATTAGAAAAATCTAGGTTTCGCAAACGACCCCAATAGTTTTAGGGATAGGTGCAAGCTATGATTAGAAGAAAAAAAATCAAGATAATAAAATATAAAGATCAATGCAAACTCTCAACGGAGAGAACTAATCACGAAATGTAGACATAGATATAAATTCCAAATTACATAAGAATACATGTGCATATATGTAGGGGTGTATGAGTACGTATAGTGGCATAAATGTATGAACATGTAAATGTACACATAGATGTATGCATGAAGATATATACGCATATAAGTGTGTTGGACGGCATGATTTATTCCATTGGGTGCTCTAGTATTACGCACAATCTATAAATCCATAACTCAGTTAATTTACATTAATCTTAACGGGCTAAACCCGTTAAATTTAAATCCCCCATCACTTAATAATAATATTTGACACCTGTAGTACAAAAGAAAAAGAACTATTTACTGTGAATCCCAGAAAAACACATTCAAGAGCCGTTATAAGAAATACCACGTAGTAGGAAATGATATTAAACTACAAACAACAAGTCCTGGCTATAAATAAACTCCAAACCCAGACCACTTCCCCCGGGATAAGATTAACATACGCCACCATCAATCGCTAACACAAATCCACTCTCACTAACCAGAGATGGACTGACGCTGAAAATAAATATTCCGTGGCAGACACTTAGAAGCTGATGATAGCCGGATATAGAACGGCTTGAAATAGACTATTTCTATGCTGAGGTAATTTTTTTTTTTTTTTTTTTGCTGTAAAAAATACATATGCTCTGTTAAAATTAAATCATCGAACTCTCTGTGGATCAGTCTTAATAATTAATATTACTAGGATCCACCCCAATTATATACCAACGGATCGATTAACTGTACCATATATATATATATATATATATATATATATATATATATAAATATGATGAGAACGAATAGAGTACAATTCGAACGTTCATAACATTTAGATTAAAAGAGGGCTCAATATGGATTAGAGCAATATTATTTATTTTAGGATATTAGGACGAAAGTATGTAAAATCATTACACAATTGCAGTCGTGTTTCAACACATATCAATGCATCTCATCAGGCGATTGTAAATTACTGGCGAGTGAACGATTTATTTGGATCTAAAAGCAAAATACAACCTCTTTTTTCGAAAAAAGCTTATAAGGCTTGAGGGCATTACCCTGATCAACCAATCAAATATGACTTACGTTAAATTTAAACTAAGCGAAGAAGCAGAATTTAAAAAATATTTTTATACAAATGGGTCATGACCCGTAGATTGGCAAGTAGCGGCAGCCAGACATTAATTTAAAGCCGGTACATATGATTACATAAAATATACAAACCAGACAATCCATTTTCCTACGAAATAAAAGTGGGGGAATAGAGAAGTAATTTG